GTGTGTGTGTGTGTGTGTATATATATATATATATATATATATATATATATATATATATATATATACAGTATATGTGTGTGTGTGTGTTTGTGAAAAGTTAAAATTTAAGCAGTAGTAGTATCTGTTGTATTTCATATATATATATATATGTGTGTGTGTGTGTGTGTGTGTGTGTGTGTACTTAATGCATATATATGTACTTAATATGTATATTGTACATATATATCATGTGTTGAAGCAAATCCTGAGATATTTTCAGATGTGAGAATAATGTGCTATGACTTTACAGACTGTGTTCACATGTTTCACATTAATATCCAGCATATGTGCACTAGAGACAAATACTTTTATGACTTTTGAGCATAAGATTTATATTGTGTCACTCAGTAATTCTTCAGAGGGGTGTGATTTTAATGTAGGAATGATGGCATGTGAACTAACAAACAAACAAACAGACAAACACAGCCATGTGTTGCCACATCTGCACACAAACACTGAATGAAACACAAGCTTTTCCCATCTGAGTAATATATCAGTGTGGTGTAATGGCAGCAGCTGACCGGCTACAGATGCCAGCAACCCATGGGATGTTCTCATGTCTGCAAACATCTGCGCTGCTGACCAACCACAGCCTCCGGATGGAATCCAGATGTTTGGAGAACCTTTGGCTTTCTCTAGAGAGAGGGCGGGCGGTAGTCTCATCAGGACGTGTGTTTCATTCTTTATGAAGAGAAAAACGCTGAGGTCTCACCTAATATGTGTCAGAATCCAGCGCTGTTGTGTAAGTGTCGGATCATACAGTAACATATTATGTGATATAATGTAAGTATATGTCCCATAGGGAATAAAAGAACAGATCTTTTTTAATACCTTTTCCTTTAGACAGCTGTGAAGTTGTTTAGAGACTTTTGAGATCTCTTTATAATTTATAAGCATTGAGTTTAATTAGGAGTTTTGAGATATCAGTAATATCTCAGAAATGTTTTTTGTTTAGACAATATATTAAATTGATCATTTTTCAGATCTATTTTTTTTATAAATATATTTTTAATATTTCAGTTGTTACTCTTAGAGATTTAAGATTAATTGGATAGGCTACTTTTCACTTAAAAAAAATGATTTATTTTAGAAATAAGATTAATTTGCTACTTTTTTATATCAGTTGTTTCTTTGTTTTTTTTCCTTTTATATTTTTGAGGTGTAATACTCAATCGTTTCTCTTAGGCATTGAGATTTAATTGATATCCTTTTAGTATCTCCCTTTTAAAATATATTTTAATATCAGATATTTTTAATATCTCTCTCTCTCTCTTTTTTATACAATAATTGTAATATTTCAGTAATTTTTCTTTGACATTGAGATTAAATGAATACTTTTTTGATTGCATTTTTTTTTTTTTTTTTTTTTTTTTTTTTTTTTTTTTTTTAGATATGTTAATATCAGTTGTTTCTTTTAGACCTAATTAAAAACACAGGTCTTTTTTTATTTATTTCAGGCCTTTTTAATTGCTCTTTTTTTACACATTAAAATAGATATTTTTAATAGATATTTGTAAATATTTTTTATAATTTTCTTAGACATAATTGAGATTAAATGCATACTTTTCAGATCTTTATATTATTATTATTATTATTGCTATTTTTAATATCTCTTTTTTTATTTAGATATTGGTAATATTTCAGTTGTTTCTATTAGATATAATAGAGGTTAAATGATACTTTTCAGGTCTCTCGTGTCTTTTCCTTTTTCTTTTTTTTTTAGATCTTTTCATATCAGATGTTTCTTTTTGACCTAATTGAAAATAAATAAACACTTTTCAGGTCTTTTTAATAGCTCTTTTTTACACATTAAAAATATATTTTTTTAATATATCCTTTTTTAGATATTTTTAATATATATTTTTGATGATTTGTAATCATTCTTGGACATAATTTAGATTAAACGAATATGAAAATAATTTAAAAGATAAATCTAAAAAAATTTATAATAAATTGAGAGCAAATGGAGACTTTTAATATGCTTCATAAAACAATCAACAATGTCATAAACTGTGCTTAAATATGGCAAGATTAAACGTCAGAAATCTCAGTACAAATTCAACCATTTGATCTAGATCTAGTTGACCTGCTTTTTATTGATCTAACTAAAATTAAGGACTATTTAATCTTTTGTGATAACAGATCAGCCCAAAGGAAGTATGTTCTTCTTTAAATGATGTCAATAGAAAAATCCCCCACAGAACGCCACGGCCACTCGTGACTAGTTCAAACAAAAGACCTCATTCTTCTCAGCCCTCTTTCCCTCGTCAGTAACATCAGAATTACCCCACATGCCCCGGGACTAGCATGTGTTTGGCCAAGTGTTCGGACCCCCTGCAGGAGCGCGCTGAGCTTTTGATTAAGTCATTGTACCAAACTGGTCAGTTGCATCAGGCTGGTTATGGGTGATTTGTTTAAGTCGCTGCCAGGCTCCTGTCAGGCTAACAAGGCTCATTGGTGAAGCGGTAAAGACAAACAGAATGTGGATTTGTGGCATGCTGTTACCTTATTTACAGTGGAGATGTGCTCTGTGGAGAGACAAGGCATACTTAATGTATGTTGTGATGTAGGAAGCAGCGTTACTATGGTGACGCTTCTCCAGCGAAGCATTGCAGAGAACTCCTTAGAGAGATGCGTATGGAATATCATGAGTGGTGATGCTAGGGGCCATCTAAAAACAACACGGCAGTTTTATGAAGTGTAGATGGATGGCGTGAGGAGGTTGAAGGAGGTGTGATGGAAAACACCTGGATATGATTGATTTATTATATTAAATAATTTATTCCCATGTTGCAAAACAATCCTATTCTTAATTTATTGTATTTATTTTACACATATCTAGATATATTTGAAACAAGTTTAATTTACTTGAGAAGCTAAATCTAATTTCTGACTGTCATTTTATAGGTTGGCAGATTTTGCAAAATTTTGACCTTGAGATTTGGTTTGAGGGGTTGCACAGGTAAAGATTGCTGCCATATATCAGAGTCATTTGAAGATCCTATTGATAATCAATATCTTGTTTTGTTTTTCAGTAAAACATCCTTAAAACAAATATTATATTTGTTATTATATACATAATATTATATAAAATAGTATTTAAAATTATTCAGAGAATGTATCTTGAATGAATACTTTTTATCTTTAAAAATGATCTTATTTGAAACTGCAATTATTTTTTTCCAGCTGATTTTTCTTTTCTTTTTTTTGTATGCTGTGTTGAATTATTTGCAGAACTTAATAACTAATATATTCTTAATGTTAAAAAAATTATAATTATATTGCATTATTGTATTATAGTACTAAAACAATGTACATTGTAAATGTGAAGACATGTTAGACGTACACATTTTTCTTATTCCATTTTCTTATGTCTTCGTCATTTTTGTGTTAGATTATTTGCAGAACTATAGAGCTAATGTATACATTATTATATTATTCCACTAAAGGTAATTTATTTATTTAGACAGATGGACAGACAGACAGATAGATAGATAGATAGATAGATAGATAGATAGATAGATAGATAGATAGATAGATAGATAGATAGATAGATAGATAGATAGATAGATAGATAGATAGATAGATAGATAGATCGTGTATGGCATTTGTGTACTGGTAAATTGTCCCATGCATACGCAATGCATTTCTCCTGAAGGCAGATAGTGAATATAACTGTGATTTCACTGAGTATTCAGCATTGGATCCTGGAAGGGGGAGGGGCGAAACAAAGGGGATGGAGAAATAGTGTGTGTGAAAATACACACTACAATGTACTGGATTCAGTTTACATTGTAGTGTTGCAATTTGTCATCTCCCCCTATCAGCTCACACTTTCTGCTGAGGCAGAGAGACGCACCGGAAAATGTAACCGAGAGAGAGAGAGAGCAAGAGAGAAAGGGGGGAGGGACTGTTGTTGCGTGCAGCACTGCTGTCATTTGGCTGCTGCACGGCTCAGCGGCAAGACGGTCTGGTGAAGGGAGGAGAGAAAACGAGGGAGTGATAGAAAGAGGAGAGAGAAAAGGAGAACCAGGGCGGCAGCTGCTGTAGCCTGACAAGAAGGAACAGGAAAAATAAAGGGCACACGGAATTAACATTCTCTTCCCATGCAAGAGAGAAAGAGCTGCACTTTCGTCCTCTCCTCCATGCTTTTGCTCTTCTCTCATCCGGCCCTAAATGCTCTCCGGTAGAGGAAGACACTTGGGGGTCGAATAAAAGTCAGGCAGAGCAAGGGGACGTCAAGGGAAGGTGCGGGCATGGCTGCCAAGAGGGGCAAGTCCGGTGTGCCACAAAGCGTGCCACGGAGCGAGCTGAAGGTGTACCGCGTGGGCAGCACAGAGGGACGCATCCCGGTGCCGTCCAACCTTCGGAAACAGAGGTCCCTGACCAACCTGGCCGTGCTGACGGATGCCGAGAAGAAGATGCAACTCTATGAGCCCAAATGGTGCGACGATATGAGCAAAGCTGCCTCAGGACACCTGAAGATGGGCAAGCCCAAACCGGCGGCCGGTGGAGGGGCGGGTGGTTCTCAACTTTCTCGCAACCTGTCCAAATCGGACCACTCCCTCTTCCAGGGCAAGCCGAAGATGTTCACCCCGCTTGTGGCACCTGGCGCTTTGGGAAAAGGCCCAAGTCGGATCCCTCGAGGCCCTTACGTGGAAGTAAAACCCTTGAGCAAGACGTCCGATGACTGCAAGTCCGACGACGATATCCTGTCCGCCAAAGCGAGTGGGAAAAAACCGGTAGCTGGTAGCTCCGGAGACCCGGAGGCTAAAGGTCAAGGTGAGGAAGGTGGCGATAAACCCTTCCTCAAGGTGGACCCGGAGCTGGTGGTCACCGTTCTTGGTGACCTGGAGCAGTTGCTCTTCAGTCAGATGCTCGGTGAGTAGGGTTTTTCCGCTTTCACGCCCACTTACTAGCAGCTGCCATTGGCGGCAAGGCTGCTGAATGGCATGGATTGACTGGAAAATCTCCAACCGAGTGCATGCTGTCATGATTCTAAAGGTGGTCTCGGACAGGTCGGATCCCTCGAGGCCCTTACGTGGAAGTAAAACCCTTGAGCAAGACGTCCGATGACTGCAAGTCCGACGACGATATCCTGTCCGCCAAAGCGAGTGGGAAAAAACCGGTAGCTGGTAGCTCCGGAGACCCGGAGGCTAAAGGTCAAGGTGAGGAAGGTGGCGATAAACCCTTCCTCAAGGTGGACCCGGAGCTGGTGGTCACCGTTCTTGGTGACCTGGAGCAGTTGCTCTTCAGTCAGATGCTCGGTGAGTAGGTTTCACGCCCACTTACTAGCAGCTGCCATTGGCGGCAAGGCTGCTGAATGGCATGGATTGACTGGAAAATCTCCAACCGAGTGCATGCTGTCGTGATTCTAAAGGTGGTCTCGGACAGCTGGACAATGCAGGGCTTTGTTCTGCATAGCATGTGCACTGTGCATCCGCCGCCTCTCGCACTTGTGGGGTAGAAATTGCACTCATAGATTATTCCCCTTGGCATATATCCAATGATTGAATGACAAAATGCTCGGGGGTGATGCTCGGCACACTGGTCTGCTTTTCGACGCCTGTCTGGTGCCGTGTGCTGGTGTTGCCACTCTGCTCTCATCTGTATTGTGTTAAGGGATGCTATCAGGGACGCGGGTTGTATGAGAAAAAGAAGAGGCCATGGAATACAAAGAGGGGGCCTAATGAATTCGGTTTGTAGCTTGTCATCACCCTCGTTTGACTGTGGCTTGATCTGTAGACACTGATAAATGCTGTTGTTGAACACATGAATGAAAGCATGCATGATCATCTGCCACACTGGAGTTCTCTTTGTAGGGACGTGGGATGAAATACAACTAAGCTTTCTTAGGGATAATTTGCAGTTGCATACTGTAGAATTTGATTATATTTTATTGGACTACCTGGCTACTTGAGGATGGATAACGTATGCGGTTTGTTATGGTTAGTGAATGTCCATGAGGCAATGTCAATTGCATTAATCAAGAAGTATGTTTATTGCATTTAAAACAAATATCCCATTTTGTTTGTGCCATCTTCTAAACACAGCATGCCCTGCATTTGTGCATCAGTCCTCAAACGAATGACCTCTATTTCAACCATGTCCAAACCTCATATGTTTAAACAACCAATTTGGGCTGAACTCTTGCAATTGTTTGTGTGGAATCCTAGATCCTTCTGCTCCTCGCACTGCAATGCACAGTATAATTCAGTGGTGGGATTAAAGGCTAATGAGAGTAAACGAATGACCGTATTAAACCTTATTAAAATGCTCTCCGTAGTTCTTGGTCAAGAATCCATACAGGATTCCGATCGAAATTATAATTTGGGAAAAAATCCTGAAGGATCCTAATGGGAATAAAAAGTAAGAACCAAAAATAAAAAATGTAAAAAAAAAACTTTTTGGAATTTCTCTTGGAATATTTATAGCAGCATTGCATTCACATTAGGATGCTTTTGGAATTCCAAATTTTAATTAATCAAATTTTTTTATTAAATTCATTTTTAATTTATAATTTGGTTCCAGGTTCAAGTAGAAAATCCAATAGGAATCTTGCATGCATTTTTTTGGATTTTTAGCATGCTTTCATATATGCAGAATATAATAATAGCCAACACTAGAGTGGTTGCAGAGCTTTCTCCCCTAAATTTAGAGGGAAAACAATGTGCTACAGGGAAACTTTTTCATGCAGGATCTCTTAATCACAAGGTCTCTAAGAATAATCAGTTGAATCTCTATATCAAAGTACTTTCTTTTTTATAATCATAATTACACATAGAGTTTATGCTCATTTGTTCTGCATAATAAACCGCTACATAATAGACTTCCTTATGAGTCGTTCTTTTGGACCGTATGTGGCACATAACATCTGCATACCACTTTTGGTCACAAGACTGAATTAGCGCTCATTGCTTTCTTCTGTGCATTCACAGTTACTATTGTACTGCACAGCTGGACGAGGGTCTAAACCTGTAGGGGGGTGGAAATATTTAAAATATGCATGAGGGATAATAGTGTGAGTTGAGAGACAGTTAAACTTAGGAAATAAAGGGCGAGGGCCAAATTTGGCCTTTTTGTGCCAGTCTGGAAATAAACCTGAATATGTACAGCAAGTTATGAGGGGGATATGAGCTTTTATGAGGCTACTGTTATCATGTTGGTTTTCTTCAGTGGGCTATGGGGTTTTCAGTGGTTGATGCCAATATCAATATCAATATCTAGAGCGTAGTTTGACTGATAGCTGATGGTATACCATTATAAATATACTTTTTATTTGATCCTTTATCATCTTGTTTTCTAGATATCTTGATATCCTTATCAAGATATCTTAAAATCCTTAAAGGGATAGTTCACCCAAACTGACAATTCTGTCATCATTTACTCACCCTCATGTTGTTCCAAACCTGTATTAGTTTCTTTCTTCTGTTGAGCACAAAAGTAGATATTTTGAAGAATGTTGGAAACCAAATAGTTGACGGTAGCCATTGACTTCTATATGTAAAAAAAAAATACTATGGAAGCCAATGGCCACCATCAACTGTTTGGTCAAGAGTGAGTGAATGATGACAACATTTTAATTTTGGGGTGAGCTATCCCTTTAAAAAATAACTTGAGAATCAGCATTGCATAAGATACTAAGTTTGTAATACACTTGCATTACAGAGTTTCTCTGTACAGTAATGCGTAAAAGTGTATTTCGTATTATTGCACTGATTTTGTCACGTTTTTCAGTATGAACACGTTTAAAACAATTGAAAATACATATATATTTAAGATTCAATCTATGAAAACAATAAGGTAATATCTTATGCAGCATTGAATCAAGTAAATGTGACTTGTTTTAAGGTTTTAAGATGTTTTAACTGAAAAAGTCAAAAATGCTGTATATTTTTTTGCAGTGTATACACAACATTTACTACAAATTAACTCAAAAATACTTTTGTATGCATTATATATTGATAAAACTGCTGGTAGAGTTTACCTGAATTTACTGTTGGAATTTACTTTTTTAATTGGTTATGACTTATGTGTATATATGTCTATGTTATACATAATATTCAAATATATTAAACTGCACCAGTGCTCACATCTGCAGCAGTGACCCACAAAATCTACACATGAAGCTGTGGTCCAGTTTGCCCTTGCAGATCAAAGCATATGGGGGGAAAAGAGCATAGGCTATATTAAATTGTAATCTCCCACGCTGTCGACAGCAGAGCTGGAGATTGCATTGGAGCATTGCACACTATGTTTATTTCAGCGGAGGTAGCAATATCATATTAGGGTGTTTATATACATAATGGTAGTAAATTAATCAATTTTAAATATGTTTTGAGCTTGCTTTTTATTTGTCCGTGAAGCTGGTCTATTTGCAATTGCGTACATACTTTGCAATGAAACTAATGAAATGCTCTCATCTTGTCACCTGATTCGCTAATTTCACCATGCAAGTCTCTCTAGTGATGCAATTAGCTAGAGCATGTGTTAATTCTCTCATGGGAATGTAGTTGATTGACATGAGTTATCTGCTGTCCTGTAATGCTTGTAAACCACCTCTCTCTCTCTCTCTCGTTGTCTGTAAAGCAGTCCAGTCGTTAATAATGTCAGGCCAGGCGTCGTGCCTAACTGCACCATGGGATTGATTGGGCATGATGTTGACATGCTGACCGCTCGCCCACGCAGGTTTTCAAGAGATTGTGTGGAAGTTTACAACTGCTTGAACAGAAAACATTCGTTTATTTGGATGAAAGAAGACTTTCATTCTTTGTTCTCATTGTCAGTGTAGGTGATGTGATACCAGGCTGTCTGGTTCTCGTAATCTCATTTTTGGCATTCGACTCGTTTTATGCTGCCTCCGAGGTTAATGTCGAAGAGCGTTAGCTTTCAGCAAAGCCAGGTGACTGATCAAGTCGAGCTGTTTTGAACATCTGCTTCACCTTTCAAGGGTTGTGACGTAAACGAAAGGCTGTTGGCTCTTTAAAGTGTCAACTTCATGTTTCAGTGCAACTTTGGGAACTTTGCCATCTTTGACTATTTGAAGAAATATTGGTGTAGAAACCTACAATATGTTTTTCCAAATACTAATTGTTTGCTAATTTTAGACTATTTTATGTTCATTTTTTGAACTTTTCAAAAAAGTTGAGGTTGGTAAGATTTTTTAAAACGTTTTTGAAAGAAGTCTCTTCTGCTCACAGCGGCTGCATTTATTTGATCAAAAATACAGTAAAAACTGTAAAACCGTGAGATATTATGATTTAAAATAACTGTTTTGTATTTGAATGTATTGAATTTATTTAATACACGAGTTTCACAATTTGAGTTGAATTACTGAAATAAATGAACTTTTCCACGGCATTCTAATTTATGGAGATGCACCTGTATATTGTATATAACTACTGTATATATGTAACATCTCATTATTTTTATATGTATGCATGTATATATACAGTACATATAAATGAAAATGTATGTGCTAGTTACAGAATAAGATGCTACTTCCTAATGAACGTGTTTTCCTTCCCCAAAGGTGTGCTATGCTAGCTGTGCATAGCCTAGCAATTATGCAAACTTTGATCTCAGGACCTTCCTGAGTTTTGCCCCTAGAGATCTCAGCCTGTCCTTCCTCCTAACATCAAACCTTTCCCTGCAGGCTAACCATTCACTGCTCTACTAAATTTCAGAGCAGAAGACTTTTGTAGTAGATATATAACACGCTTACTAGACCTGCAGCTAATGCTGCCTTCATTTTAAAAAGCTGCACTTGTATAAGACTGATGAGCTTCCAAAGACTTGATGGCGCAGGCGTAAAAATGATTCATACCGCACTCAACCCACAGAATCACAGCCACGCTAATGTATGTGTGCATAATGTGCTTTTCTGTAACGGGATATTTTTGTTAGCCTTCAAGACATGGAGATGCATGACCTAATACGACTCAGAATAGAGGTGCACTGTTTGATTTTTCTGAACATGTCGATTCCTATTATACACCTGCTGCACTACACAATATCTAAAACACTGGTTTTATTGCTCAAAGGAATGCAAGAGAGAGACTCTCACTGCATTTTCCATAGGAAGAGACACACTGCACAGTAGAAATGGACTTTTCTACTAATTAATTCATAGGAAAACCTTTCTTTGAATGAACACACATATCCTTCAGGTCATTGTGTATGTTGTCTTTGATATTTTTAGACTATTTTATGCATGCTTATGATATAACCACTCATTCATGTAACCTTACATATACCATGTTTAGTATTTATGAATTCGCCTTCTGATGATCTAAACGAGCGTGTATATTATATGTTGGTACATAGGCAATATATTAGTGTCCTGAGAATCTTTAGTAATTTCGATTCAAGTTCCATTTGCAAATTACCATGCCCTCACACAAAGGATCATAAAACCCTCCAGCAATTGCAACCTCCCGCTTTGGATCTCAGCCTTTCTCATTGGACAAGCCCATTTTGAGAGGCGTGAATCTTCTCAGACCTTAAAGGCCTCACATCAGTGACCCGCCCAGGAGTCGGTGGTTTTGTTGAATTCTGAGAAGATGAAGATGTGCGCACAAGCTCCAGGACACCCTAAGTTCGTGCCAGGCTTCAGCCTCGACTTTTCCATTCACCAAGATTCTCTGACTCAAACTGGTTCTTTTTCATCAACCAACTTCAGCAAAGATCAACTTGAACCTTTATATTGCATCAAACCCCTCTTGCAGACAGACGAGACGTGCAAGTATTCAAACTTAGTCTTATTAATTGATACATTAGGGATCATTTGCACCTTTTTACAAAGGTGTGTTTGAACTAAGAATCTGATGTTTCCTTCAAATGGTACCATAGTTTAATATTCTTATTTCTCTTCTCTTTACTGCGTTAAGCTTTAACCCTT